CCGCACTAGCACTGACACCCACCGTCAGCTGAAAATCAAACGCAAACCATAGGCAGTGGGGCAGTCTAGCCTCTAGCCGCATCACAGATCACCGTGCAAAGGAAAGGCCATTATTTTTATTCATTGTACAAAGAAAACTGGCTTCATTTGTTTCCAAACTATTCATGGTGTTCAATATATAGTTGAGTGTTTAGTGGCAACAAATAAATAAGCTATCGTTTGGGATGTTACTCTTCGTGACTGTTGTGGTCTTGCTGTTCTCAAGAATATGTTCAGAAGAGAATTCCTGTTTCATATAAAATTTCCCAACAGGCAGGAACCATGGGTAAGAACTTATCATATATTCAGACCCTGTGACCCTTATAGCAAAAGCATGTAGCCTTACACAAAAAAAAAATCAGAAATCAAAAATCAACTTGGATGAACAGGTGCTGCTGTCCCTTTGGCTGCCCCTACAGGCCCTTGAGTCTTAACTCTAAGCACAACCTACTCGCTCACCAGCACGCCACCCATGTCCCCGAGGCCCCCACTCCTCTTCCCTTCCCTCACGAGGCCCTGACTCCTCTGACCAGCACATACTAGCTACACACAAAACCCAGGGGAAGTGTGGATGCGAGGACTCGAGCACACCCATAACGTCCCCAGGACAAACACCACTGTGTCACGACACCGGAAGGAAACCTTCCCTTTACGTGCCCAGGCTCTTGCCTGTGTGGGAGCTTCTCTGAGCTCACCCATGTAGGGGGGTTTTGGCCGAAGTGACCTAGTTAAACTAAACACACTACACACCACACCACACCCCTTTCCTTAAAGGGGGGAAGTCATCAAGTGCCATGCTGTTTATGTTTATGAAGAAAAATGTGTTAGTTGGGAATTCCAAAAGCCTAGAGTTCCCACAGACAAGACCTAGGTCACAGAATTTGCTAGAAAAAACTTTCAGGAAATCTACAGATTTCTTAAAATGGATTTTAGGTTCGAGCTTTGAATTCTTTATGTGGTCTACCAGTGTTCCATTCTAACAGGCTTTTCAAAACAAAGTTTAGTTCTCATTGACAAGTGGTGATGCTTCACAATGCAATTCTTCATGTAACCCAAGATGCAGTTTTTAAGACTATGCTTTTTTTTTTTTTTTTTTTTTTTTTGCAGAACCAGAGATTGAACTCAGGCCCTTGCACTTGCCAGGGAAGTACTTATTCTACTGAGCCATCTGCCTGGCCCCCAAACTGTTCTTTTAAATTTAGGATTAGCCTGAATATTGGGGTGGGGGGAACTCTAGATGATCAGAAAATTTCTTATGGAAGAGAGGAACAAAAAATGATTTGCCATAAATTCAGAGCCTATATTCATAAAACACAGTGCTCACCTACTCTGACAGCTATAGGCCATGGGAAAATAAAATTTACACCTTGACTCAACTTGCTTTATCAAGGTCAAGCATGTGAGTAATCCCAGGCATAAAACTATAAAGACCTCCCAGTTTTACAACTAGTAGGTCTTCTTATAAATAGTCCATTTACAGTAAACTAAAAGATATGATTTGAAATAAAAAATCTTAGATTCTTCAAATCACCCAATAGTTTTTCACACTTTCATAAGCTTTCATACACACACTCAGGCCACCTGAAAAATCCAAGGATCCTTGGCTCCTGGGCCACACCTACATTAACCTGCTGCATAATTCTGGATCAGTGCTAGGCCTGTACCTGACTCATTTCACTCAGCTCTGGTCTGTACCCTTTTCCTCCTTTACCTTGGTGGGGATAGTACGCTAAGGGCTCCCTGGGGTTTTAGGAACAAGACAGACATGTTGACTTGCAGTACACTGATGGTTGCTCTGAGCCAACTCTGGGCGGGACTAGATTCCCAGAAGTCACGGCAAGACCTCGGCCGCCCATACTAGAGAGGCTGAAGACCGAAGGCGATGGCCGGAGGTTAGGAAAGACCGTGACACGGCCAACAGGGTGAGCCTGCAGGATCCTGGCTAAGGAACGAAATGTCTCTCTAGTCATGAGGTCTCTCAGGGATACAATGCAGTCTCCCCAACTCTGTAGCTCCTTAAAAAAAAAAATAATGAAAATACTCCTGCTTACCAACAAAAGCATATATAATTCTACACAGTGTTAGTTATATATAACTAAAAGTTTCTTTTAAAAAATGGTACATAAGTACTCACATTTTCTATTAGGTCACAAATGATAGCATTATTGAAGTAGTCAATGTGAGTCCATTCTATGTCCTAAAAAACGAAACAGAAAAAAGTCAGAATCTGCATAGTTATGACATAACTCTGCCATCCACGTGAGGACACCCTGCTCATCTCCCCGAATTTTACTTCCTTTCTAGATTACTTTTCCACGCAGAACTAGGGCTGCAAATAACCCCCGCCCCCACCCTGGCATGCTCGGGGCCCCTGGATCTAGGTCCCTCCCTGGCCATTTCCCATGCACGTCCCCCTGGCTCTGAGCCAGACGTTCACTCCACAGGCCCTAGCTAGGGTCAGCCCTACTCCATGTACATTTGCAGAGTAGAGAAGGAAATGTGGCAGGACTTGATCCCAGGAATCTCTGGCCTGGATTTTTCAGTACTTTATTTGCCATCACAAAGAAAAAAATTAATTTTGTCAACCCTAAGTTGTAGGGCAGCTAACTATTTTAACTATCAAAACAAAAAAAGCAAAATCCCAGTGCTAAAGACCAAGTACATCCACCACAAGGAAAGGCATGAACCCGATCTATCTCTTTGCACAAACGTTAGCCGCAGAGCCAAACCCCAAGGCCAAATGCAATCCTTCTTCATCTGCTTACACTTCATTCATAAGCATAAATATTTATTTTTCTTCTAAAGGGAAAAAGGTAATTCATAAAGCAAGCCAGGAGTCTTTACACTTTCTGAAGTGTTGTAGACAAACTGCACAAATTATTGTGAGTCACACATCCACGCTTTGGTATTCTTACGATGCAAAGAAAGAAACAGCATGAGCCTCACTTCTAAGACTATTTATGTCATCGAAAATGCCAAACAAGTAAAAAACATCTCTAAAGCAAACAACCATTCAAAAACCAAGATGAAATATTCAAAATTCAGCGTAAGAGTAAATGAGCTGTTTACTAAGTCACTAAAGATTAATAATAGTCACAATAGAAAAATCTACATTGAGGCTGGGGAGATAGCTCGGCAGTATAAGCGCTGGCCTGGCAAGCGCAAGGACTCGGGGTTCAATCTCTGGCACCACGTGCCGCACTGGCCCTACCCCTGGGCATACTGAGCTGGCCAACGAAACCAGGTGTGGCGGTGCACACCTGTAATCCCAGCCCTGAGGAGGCTGAGACAGGAGGATCACTACCAGTCCAAGCTACGTAGTGAGACCTTGCACCAAACAAATAGATATATAAATATTCAAAAAAGGAAAAGAAAAATTCTTGAGAGAAGGATTCAGTGTCTTCAACAGCCTAAGAGCACACTATAGGAAATAAAGGAAAATAGGTGACCTCATTACTGAGATATTTTAAATATACATGAAAAGGAAACAAAAATATAGGCAATGTAAAATAATTTCTCCTTTTCATTTTGAGATAATTTTGCTTAGAAAAAATGGTTACATGCAAAATGAGAGTGTGAAAGCCATCCATGTACAACAGAACTAAAGATGACAGGATTCAGCAAACATCGCTTCTAGCATTTTAAAATTTCATTCAATACCAGTCAATTACTTATGTTTATTATAAATTTGGAAATCAAGATTTTTACGATTGAGCCTCAAAATGTTTTCAAATCTACCTATGGTGACAGTGACTTTGTGTGACATACAGTCTCGAGTGTCGTGCGACCATCCCATCATCATTTCCTCCCACCTCCCACCCCGCTCCCACACCCTGAGCATCGGAGATCAATTGCTTTCCGCTCAGAATCTGTCTCTTTAGCTAGGGATGAATACAGACGGAGTCATGCAGCATGCAGCTTGTTGAGTCTGGCTTCTTCCACCAGCACAACCTACCATCATTCACACTCTGTGGTATTATCAACTACCCGTTCCTTTTTATGGCACAGTGGAGGTCCACTGAAGATATACCAGTCTGTCCATTCACCTTTGACTATTTTCTTAGCACACTACTATTCCACACCATTACACCAGAATCCAAGGAAACCAGAGACCCCCTCTTGATACTTATTCCTCACCAGCCATGTGTTTGAAATTGTTGTGGGCACTGGTAGCACAGTACCAAAAAGAATCCCAGTTATCGTAGTCAACTAACTTAAATACACTGAACAAGTTTTTAAGACACACAACATGATTCAGCTGAGAAAAATTTGATGCCAGGTTCATGGTTGGACAGCCTTTGGAATCCAGAAATCAGAGGATGAGTACAGAGCAAGCAATATTTTTTACGAAGCCCCTCAACATACCTCCCGTATGTACTCTTCCTGCTCTTCTTTCAGAGTAAGCTCGATGAAGATTTGTTGCAGCTTCTCGTTACAATAGTTGATAATGAACTGCTCGAAGCTGTTGTCCTGTATGGAGAAAGTGAAAAAGCCTCATTAGCTGTGTCCCCTGCTCCTCCTGACAAGGACACTCAGACACCTCAGCCCACGGGTCACACCACACGCTGTCTTGCACACTGAATGAGGACCAGCACAAGCTCCACAGATGGGGGCTTCAGGAGTTACAAATGACGTCCACACAGTGATGCGGCACCACCAGGGTGAAGACTTTTAGTCGACAGGGACGCAGCCGACACGGTTGAAAGAAAAAGAAAAATTGCCCTGAAGGATCAGTGAAGACCCAGTGAGATTCCCAGTGTCTGCCGCCGACTTCTGAGGCTCCTCCGTCCTGCTACCCTGACCTTGTCCTCTCCACCTAGCCCTCACGCTGACACCCCGGCCCATCACAGTCACGTTGCGGACGCCAGGGTGGAGCTCTGCGGACACAAGCCCTGGATCTGAGCCCTGGCACGCCTGCCCTTCCTGATCAGATTATAAGAACAGGAGCGAGTGTACAGTGTGCATGTACATATTGATCAGTTCTGTACTTGTGGCTCACTTGCATGGGTTAGCTTCTCTCTTCGTGCAATGAAGGTTACAGCCTCGGGACCAGAGCAGACCACACGCTCCTGCTCGCTGGCTTCCCTCCCTGCACTGTGCCTGCCAAGGACTCCATAACCCTTGGGGGAGACGTGAGGTTCCTACCAAAGAGAGACCCAAGGAAACGGAAGTGTCGAAAGCCTCGCCCTGGCCACCAGTGCCTCTCTCTTCTCCGCAGGCCCGCCCCTCTCCACCTAGTCTGACCAGTTGCTCCCTTCTACTGGTGACTCCAATGAATTCTCACATGCAAGGCCCATGCCTAAGTCATGGATGAATGGCTGCAGGGCTTAATGGGCTTCAGGGCTGCACATACTGAAGGCACGAATTACTAATCTGTCGAATGAATGCATTACCCGGGACTACAGCTTCCAGGGACTAAGCCTTGTCATCTCCACCTCTCTGCTTTGCCAAGAGACGGTATCCGTGGGAGTCAAGGGGCAGACTGTACCCAGGTGAACTCCACCTCTCCCGCAGAGGCAGCCGGTCCTGTGGAACGGGGCACTGCTACTTGTGCAAGTGTGCAGCTACTGTCCTTCACATTGCTCCAAAAATAACCAAAGGAAGAAAAGTCACAGACGTCTTTGAAAGTTGATCTTTTAAAATCAGCTGTGGTCCAAGCCTGGAAAAATGTTCAGATGCTCCTTACAGCAGAGCATCTGAGCAGGCAGCTAGAGATGTACAACTCCCAGCAATGACCTGATCAGAGGGAGCACTAATCCTCGCCACCAATGACCACGTGAAACCCCACGATGGACCGGCCTTGTCTGTGCTAAATTTACTGGACAGTCTTTGCTTTTTTCTAAATCCTAAAGGTTCTCACTAAAAAGTAAAGACTTTCAGAACTTCCACAAATACATCTTAGGCACAAGGGCATTCCCTGGCACTCGCTGGCGGACTATCAGAAACCTGGAACTTCGATCGGCAGAGCAAACGATTTTGAAAACTGAAATCACGATGGTGCAGATGACTTATCACTATGGCGCAGATGACTTAGATACCCAGTATGAAGCCACTTCAGACGTGAGAAAACCTAGCTCTCTTGTCTAAGGAAATATGTTCTTATAGCATAGTACTAGTACAAATGAAAAGCATATAAAATTTGAAATTGTACTGGTTTAAAGGAATGATTTTTGTTTTCTGGAAGCAAAAACATGAAGCCAATCTTTTCTGTTATTTGCAACTCTGTATCCGTGAAGCTATTTCAGTACAATTATGCTCAATCTTCCACCCGTCCCGAAGGGGCAAAGGGAGAGAAGGGTAACTTGTGCCGTTAGATACGGCAAGTGGCTGGGGACATCCTTCAGTACAGCTCCGAAGAGGACTGTGAAATACACACAAGCACATCAGAAACCAGGGCCAACACTTCACAAGCACAGCACAACTTTTAGATTCGAGTTAGCTCTACATTAAATTTGCTGCCAACCTCTAAAAATCCCTCTGCGAATTCTGTACTTCGTGTCCACACAGTTAATCAACAACCACGGGCCACAAAACCCACACAGCTGGCGAAGCCATTAGCACAGGCGCATGCGACAGACTGGCACTGCACACGGGTCATACTTACTGCACTCTGGTGCAAAGAGGGACAGAGTACACAAAATGCCATCAGTTCTTAAGCAGCAATGGACTTCAGGAAGTAAACACTTGAAGTAAACACTTGCTGAGAGTTACTTATTGTAGCAAATGACAGCTCTTACCATTCAGTCTATCTGGTTGGTGGGTGTAAAACTTTAGACCAAGACAGGTGTCCATAAGACAGGGCCACCACGGCTACACGTGGGGTCTCAGCTGGGGTTTTCTGCTACAGGAGCATTACTCAGGATAAAAAGGCTTGCGTAAGATTAAAAAAATTAATCTAATGCTTCTAATCTACATTTCTTTGGAAAGGAAAATGTGGCTGACACATACCCAAGGTCTAGATCCTCCCAAAGACCCAGGGGCAGGAGCAACGGGCAGATCACAGAATCACAAGGAGACCCTGACTGACCCGGAAGTACTTCCCTTTCAGGCCCCACAATTCCATTATGCAGTCCTGTCTGGCTCCGCCCTCCAATTCAAAAACAAACAGGATGGCAAAAAAGGAATATTTTCCTGGAGATGGAGTAATAGAAGCCTGACTCACCTACCTTATTCTATTGCAGCAAACCAACCTATCAGACAAAGCCAAAATATAGAATACTACCATCATCAACGCATGAATTAAGTTCCTCACGGAAATCCGCAGCATCTACTGCAGCTCCAGCATGGAAAACATGCTATGACTGGTCAGGGCAATAATTACTGCCAACACCAAAGGCCAAAGACGTACACTTCTGGTGGCCTAAGTCAAAGTTGTTGACATTGTTCAAACATGCAAACAAAGGTAACAGTTTAAAGAATTCCCACTTGTACCAATCTAATACAGTTCTTCATTTATACAGGGACTAAGTAAACACGAGGTCCCTAACATGGGTTCTCTCTCCCCTTTGTAAACTATAAAATACCTGGACCAAGTCCAGAAACTGATTACTGGTTCATTAAGGCCCCAGAGCAACAGGACATTTGGATCCTTCGTGGTTTGCCAAGAGCGCTGTGAGTGGCCTCCTGAGTCAAGGTCTCCACAGAGGACGAGGCGCTTGCTCCTCAGTGCCCACTTCCACCCCCACTTCTCTCCACAGCCTCCATGTGTGCCACATTGCTCCAGTCTCACCCACCAGACCCCGGGCTAAAACTAAGGTGCTGAGAAGCACCTCCGATCAGGGACCCTCTGGGATTTCTATCAGTACACGACCCCCTCGCCTGAAGCTGGAGTCCACTTCCGACCCTGGACAGCCGCCTTAGAGCATGCAGGTGAACAGGAAAGTGTCCTTAGTCGACACAGCTCCACACTGCGTACCAACCGCAGGCAAGACAGTGAGCCCTCACACTATATTTAGAAGTGCACAATACACCACAATTTGAAATTCTGGGGCTTCTTTCTAAAATTCTAGACTTCGAGTCTATCCTTTCAACATCAAAGAGACAGAAAACCTTACTCTCAGTAGAGTTCATTGCTAGTTTATATGTCCAAGTATCAATCATGGACTTTCAACACCGAAGGATTTCAAAAGATGCATTAAAAATACTGGCCTACTTGTATATTTCCTCTTAGCAACAGGGGAGGCTAAGGGTAGGCTACATTCTAATTTAAAGCAGGCAGCTGTACTTTCTTCTTTTTCTTTTTTTCTTTGTATTTTAGGGAAGGGTCTACAGGGTGTTCAGGGTCTTACTACTAGATTGGACTCATAGTGATCCGCCTGTTTACAGCTTCTCAAGAGCTGGGGTTACAGGCTCACGCCACCACCACGCCCAGTCTCAATTGCTGTCTCAGGGCACCCCGAAGGAGGGGCCGGCACGGCAGGCCGGGGGATCGAGCCCCTGGCCCCTGTGCCTGCTTGCAGGTGCTTCAATCCACTGAGCTATTTCGCCAGCCCTGC